TCATTCCTGGCGTTTGTCATTTATTGGTACCGGATTTCATGCCGGAATCCACAACAATGACGTTCTTTCCATTTCCTTTCCTTTCTTTCTTTTATCTTTCCTATATTTCGTTTTTATAGTTCTTTTCTCTCTTTTTTCTGTCTTTCTTTATTCTTTCTTTTTGTTTTTATTCTGTTCTTTTTTATTTTTCCTCTTTTTCCCTTCCTTTGTTCTGAAATTCCACAGTGGGGATACGAGTCTTGATGATCAAGGTGGGATATGACATCTACCTGCATTTAACAATCATCTTCTGAAAGCACTAGTCGAACAAAACCCACCTCAAAGTGTCAGAGAAATGTATCAGATAATCTGACAGCGTTTCATCAATATCGGGCCATCTCTAGAAAATTGACAAGGTGATGAAACTAGATAACAAGGTTTCACATGAACTCAGTGAAAATGAAAGTGAAAGTGTTCGACGTTTTTGAGTTTGTTCGATGCTGCATCTGCGAAATTCGAATGATCCTTTTCTTGATCGAATAGTGACTTGTGATGAGAAATGCATCCTTTATTACAATTGTAAACGTTCGGATCAATGGCTTCATCCTGATGAAAGACACAAACACTTTCGTAAACTGAAACTGGACCAACAGAAAATTATGGCGATTTTCCGGTGGACTGCCTTTAGAGTCATGAATTAGAGATTTATGGAACCTAACCAGAAGCATCACTGCCGAAGTTTACTGCCAGCAAATGGATGAAATTCGTATTTATTTAATCAAAATACGACCGACACATGATAATTGATGCTGTCGAATTCTACTTCATCACGATGCTCGGCGACATAATGACAACGCAGATGCTCAACGGCTTGACATATGAGATTTTGCCACATCCACCATCTTCCCGTTCTATTGTCCACTAACTACCACATTTTCAAGCATCTTGACAATTTTTTTAAGCCAAAGGACATTTCGTTGCAAATAAGTTGCAGAAACTGCATTCAAAAATTTCTTGGCGTCCAAACATTTAGAACAGATGACCAAACATTTTTTCAATGAGGACCAGATTTGATGAGGTGAATATCCGTGAGGGCCAACCATTTTGCGTAGCATTCTTTGAACCATTACAATTAAATGCAAATTAACTATCTTATGAAACTTTTATTGCAAATGGTATATTTTTATTTCTTCACATGGATGACAAATTTAAATGGTTCTTACCAAAATCACTCAGCCTGTGATATCTGAAGCCCATATAAGATGAAGTAAAATATGTCTGAGAAAAAAAGAATTTCCAAGAAGCTATAATATATCTCAGGTTAATATTAAACATTACATATTATCTGTAATTAATGTAGTCTGTCAACTTTTAAGTTAAAAACATATGAATAGAAATATAACAGCAACATTCATCTTATTAAGACGTAAAAAACATAAAGTGACGCAATTTCAAGTGTTCAAATATATTTATAACTAATTTTGACCAACACAAAACAAATTTAATTCACAAAAATTTTAGAATTTATTCATCTCAGATGACCAAAACAAATATCTTGCTTGCACAAATGTGAAGGGTGATACTGAGATCTGGACAACAATGTGTAGGCCAGGTTTCGTTCAAAACCAGTGGTCTAGATCAAAGGCATTAAGTTTAGAAATTTGCTGGAAAAGGCCAAGGTCAGTGTTGCACCGCTAGAGGTCGACCACACAGTGTTGCTGCCATTTTTTGGTAAAACATGAAATTGCATTTCTTAGGTCTCTACTTTACATACCCTGATTGACAATATTTGCGGACCGTAAGTGATGCATTCTGTGACAGAGGATGGTGGCATATGGAAATTTAACCGCGAGACGTAATTGGTCCCCGGACGGAATATTGGACATGCCTGATTTAGAGTTTTATCGTAAAGGGATAAGTAACCTTGTAACTCGATAGTAGACATGTATAGATTTTGACTGATTTAAACACGATTTCAGTTCTGTTATGTGTCATGCGTGATACACGCTTAGGCAATCATGTATCTGTCGATACATGACTGACGAGGCAGATATTTTCCTGCAGTAGGTTGCCATTTATTTCTGCGGTAGACCAGTTGCCATCCAAGGATATAGAACCTGGTCTGTCCTGCTATTTACCCATAGCTGAGGGGGCGAAGAGGATTCATACCTTTCCCAAGGGTCAGTCAGTTGTGCCATGCGTGATACACGCTTAGGCGATCATGTATCTTTCAATACATGACTGACGAGGCAGATTTCTTCTTTCAGTAAGTTGCCATTTCTTTCTGCGGTAAACCAGTTGCCATCCAAGGCTATAGAACCTGTTCTGCTATGCTATTTCCCTATAGCTGGGGAGGGAAAGAAGAGAATTCATACCTTTCTCAAGGTATTAGCACGTAAATGAATGTAATTGATCAAAGTGGAATTCGAACTCGGCTCTCCCATAGAAACATTACTCCACCGTGCCTTCAGGAATGAAAGTTGATGCTAAAATCAGAGGTAATTTTACGATGAAACAAATAAAAGTAATCCTTGAGTGGCTCTCCTGCCATATATTGGACAAAATTTATTATAAAATTTTCAATTTCATCATACCGATTGTTGGGGGCAATTCGACGTGATCTAACGGTTAGATAGCTTGTCTTGCTCGAAATGAACCTTTTATTTCGTTCACCGGGTAGACTGTTCTAGTTCCAGGTGCCATGCCTCTTCCCGATATCTCAGTTTCAGTTGTTTCCCTTGAGTAACTCAACACTCTAAGTTTTTGTTCATCTCTGCAATATTGAACTCTTTAGGTCAAGTCACTGGATTACCTCAATCAACGCTCTTATCCATCGGGTCAAGTATCCTGGAGGACATCAGTCTATGAACTTTTGGGACTTATAAACCAAAGTAGCCTCAGTAGCCGTTTTTTAACAAAGCTCATGTTACAATTTGTTTTCATTATTGTTTTCCTCTAGCACTCTGGATTAGTGATTCTCATATTGTATTCATTTCCGTGAATGGTGACCGCTTGGGAATACCAGGCGCTGTATGCTTGCACGTGCGGGACATATAAAGAACTTACGGATATATCATATTGAAACACCAGTACCCGTAGGAAGACCAAAGTTAAGCAACAACGATCCTGGTTAGTGGCTAGATGAGTGACCGCTTGGGAATACCAGGCGCTGTATGCTTGCACGTGCGGGACATATAAAGAACTTACGGATATATCATATTGAAACACCAGTACCCGTAGGAAGACCAAAAGTTAAGCAACAACGATCCTGGTTAGTGCCTAGATGAGTGACCTCTAGGAAATACCAGGCGCTGTAAGTTTGTATGTGCGGGACGTATAATGAACTTACGGATATATCATATTGAAACACCAGTACCCGTAGGAAGAACAAAGTTAAGCAACAACGATCCTGGTTAGTGGCTAGATGAGTGACCTCTAGGAAATACCAGGCGCTGTAAGCTTGTATGTGCGGGACGTATAATGAACTTACGGATATATCATATTGAAACACCAGTACCCGTAGGAAGACCAAAGTTAAGCAACAACGATCCTGGTTAGTGGCTAGATGAGTGACCGCTTGGGAATACCAGGCGCTGTATGCTTGCACGTGCGGGACATATAAAGAACTTACGGATATATCATATTGAAACACCAGTACCCGTAGGAAGACCAAAGTTAAGCAACAACGATCCTGGTTAGTGGCTAGATGAGTGACCTCTAGGAAATACCAGGCGCTGTAAGCTTGTATGTGCGGGACGTATAATGAACTTACGGATATATCATATTGAAACACCAGTACCCGTAGGAAGACCAAAGTTAAGCAACAACGATCCTGGTTAGTGGCTAGATGAGTGACCTCAGGAAATACCAGGCGCTGTGTGTTTGTATGTGCGGGACGTATAATGAACTTACGGATATATCATATTGAAACACCAGTACCCGTAGGAAGACCAAAGTTAGCAACAACGATCCTGGTTAGTGGCTAGATGAGGACCTCTAGGAAATACCAGGCGCTGTAAAGCTTGTATGTGCGGGACGTATAATGAACTTACGGATATATCATATTGAAACACCAGTACCCAGCAACAACGATCCTGGTTAGTGGCTAGATGAGTGACCTCTAGGGAATACCAGGCGCTGTAAGCTTGTATGTGCGGGACGTATAATGAACTTACGGATATATCATATTGAAACACCAGTACCCGTAGGAAGACCAAAGTTAAGCAAACAACGATCCTGGTTAGTGGCTAGATGAGTGACCTCTAGGAAATACCAGGCGCTGTAAAGTTTGTATGTGCGGGACGTATAATGAACTTACGGATATATCATATTGAAACACCAGTACCCGTAGGAAGACCAAAGTTAAGCAACAACGATCCTGGTTAGTGGCTAGATGAGTGACCTCTAGAAATACCAGGCGCTGTAAGCTTGTATGTGCGGGACGTATAATGAACTTACGGATATATCATATTGAAACACCAGTACCCGTAGGAAGACCAAAGTTAAGCAACAACGATCCTGGTTAGTGGCTAGATGAGTGACCTCTAGGAAATACCAGGCGCTGTAAGCTTGTGTGCGGGACGTATAATGAACTTACGGATATATCATATTGAAACACCAGTACCCGTAGGAAGACCAAAAGTTGCAACAACGATCCTGGTTAGTGGCTGATGAGTGACCTCTAGGAAATACCAGGCGCTGTAAGCTTGTATGTGCGGGACGTATAATGAACTTACGGATATATCATATTGAAACACCAGTACCCGTAGGAAGACCAAAGTTAAAACAACGATCCTGGTCAGTGCCTAGATGGGTGACCTCTAGGAAATACCAGGCGCTGTAAGCTTGTATGTGCGGGACGTATAATGAACTTACGGATATATCATATTGAAACACCAGTTCCCGTACTATGAACAAAGTTAAGCAACAACGATCCTGGTCAGTGCCTAGATGAGTGACCGCTTGGGAATACCAGGCGCTGTAAGCTTGTATGTGCGGGACGTATAAAGAACTTACGGATATATCATATTGAAATACAAGTTCCCGTAAGATGACCAAAGTTAAGCAACACCGATCCAGGTCAGTGCCTAGATGGGTGACCGCTTGGGAATACCAGGTGTTGTAAGCTTATATGTACCGGTGGTATAAAGGACTTACGGATATATCATATTGAAACACCAGTTCCTGTACGATCAACAATGTTAAGCAAAGTCGAGCCTTGTCAGTACCTTGATGGGTGACCGCTTGGGAATACCAGGTGCTGTAAGCTTCTATGTGCAGGTGGTGGAATCGATAATGGCTCGGAATTGTTGATCGGAGAGCAGAGTTCCAATCCTCGTTGGTGGGGCTTTCCCAATTGACACAACCTTTTTATCATCAGCCATACTTAAATCACGTATAATTTATAAATGTTTTAAGTAATAACGGAACACATTCAAAATTTTATCTTGTGTATAAGGTGATTAATGAAGGTGTGATTAAACAAAATTATTTTTTTAATTACGTCATCGTGAAGATTTGAGAGAACGTAATGACTGAATTGCCCTCGGATTTGCCGCTTTTACCTTGAAGTCGTAACAGCTTTCATGATAAGGAGGATGATGTTGATCAAAATAACTTTTCAGCGAGTTTCTTAGAGAAAGAAAAAAAGCAATAAGAGACCTGTAAATTGATTTTCATCCCTATTCCCTTAAAAAAAATGTAAGTTCCTGACAGACAGCTTTTTTCCCATCGAACTGTTATTTTGCTCCGGAGAGAATGCTTTCCTGACAAATAAAATTTTGGTCTCTTTAGGGTCAACCAATATCTATCCTACTCGTCTTTATAATACTCTCTTACACCCTCTCCACTTCCATTACATTCTCACTCAGTAACCCTCTACCTTGAGTGGTTCTTCGGCCTTGTATTGGATGAACTAACAGTAAAAACCAAATTAATACAATGCGAAGTTTATCGAAAATTGAATGTAAAATATCGCTGAAACTCCAAGTACCAGTTCATATATATATATATATATATATATATATATATATGTATGTATGTATGTATGTATGTATATACTCTTGAAAATAGGTAGCTACCTGAGATAGATAGATAGATAGATAGATAGATAGATAGATAGATAGATAGATAGATAGATAGATAGATATGAATAGACTGAGATAGATAGATATGAAGATAGATATGAATAAACTAAGATAGATAGATAGATAGATAGATAGATAGATAGATAGATAGATAGATATGAATAGGCTGTGATAGATATATATGAACAGATTGAGATAGATAGATAGATAGATAGATAGATAGATAGATAGATATGAATAGACTGAGATAGATAGATATGAAGATAGATATGAATAGACTGAGATAGATAGATATGAAGATAGATATGAATAGACTAAGATAGATAGATAGATAGATAGATATGAATAGACTGAGATAGATAGATAGATAGATATGAATAGACTGAGATAGATAGATAGATAGATATGAATAGACTGAGATAGATAGATAGATAGATATGAATAGACTGAGATAGATAGATATGAAGATAGATATGAATAGACTGAGATAGATAGATATGAAGATAGATATGAATAGACTGAGATAGATAGATATGAAGATAGATATGAATAGACTAAGATAGATAGATAGATAGATAGATAGATAGATATGAATAGGCTGTGATAGATATATATGAACAGATTGAGATAGATAGATAGATAGATAGATAGATATGAATAGACTAAGATAGATAGATAGATAGATATGAATAGACTAAGATAGATAGATAGATAGATATGAATAGACTAAGATAGATAGATAGATTGATAGATATGAACAGACTCTGATAGATACTTTCCGGAAATGAAGATAGATAGATAGATAGATAGATAGATAGATAGATAGATAGATAGATAGATAGATAGATATGATCAGACTCTGATAGATACTTTCCGGACAGATAGATAAATAGATAGATAGATAGATAGATAGATAGATAGATAGATATGAACAGATTGAGATAGATAGATAGATAGATAGATAGATAGATAGATATGAACAGATTGAGATAGATAGATAGATAGATAGATAGATAGATAGATAGATATGAACAGATTGAGATAGATAGATAGATAGATAGATAGATAGATAGATAGATAGATAGATAGATAGATAGATAGATATGAACAGACTCTGATAGATACTTTCCGGACAAGCCATGCACATGATTTTTTTGTTGTTGTTTTGTTCATATGTCCACCCAATACAAAGCGAAGAAGTCACTCAGTGCGGAGGTTTACTGAATACGGTGCGTGATATGAACGTAAAAGAGAGGAATTACGAAGTGAGGTATATTAGGATATGGGGAACGGATAACGGTTGATCTTAAACTTGAAATGCTTCAGGGAAGCATCAAAGTGGTCGCACTTGGAAATAGATTTTTTTGGGGAGGGGGGATAGATCATCCTCCTTACGAATGGAATACATAAGAAATGTGTGTGATTCAACACCAACGACGAAGCAAGTCTTGGCTGTAAAGTCTGGTGGCGGAGATCGATTGAACTTTACCATGCATGCTAGCCACGCTGCGTCGGTTGGAAAAGAAGTAAAGAATATATAGACCTCTCACCCCCCGAAAAGCTGCGTAATAGATTTTGTAGTTTGCCTAGCCTAGTGAATGAGTAATAGGCAACTCCGTCATTTTTGGTCTGATCTGATATCAAGATAAAACACAACACAATGGAGAAGACACCCAAAAACTACTTCGTTATCTTTCTCAATAAGTGATAGCAATTCATAGTAAAATAAATAAGAGGAAGCTGTAGAGATTCATGATTGCCTAAGTCTTAAGGAGACATAACATAAAAAAAAAAACAAATATATATATATATATATATATATAAAGACAAAAGGGAAACTTTTTTAGAGAACGCGTTAGGTCTTCTGTGGTACTTTATCAAGGCAAATGATATATATATATTTATATATATATATATATTCCATCTTCCATCTTCTTTCTTTTTCCTCTTTCTTTTCTCCCTTCTGCCCTCCCATTTCAATATATCACTCCCGTTAAGTTAACCGTCTAAATAGGTCAAGGTCTGGTCACTACTCCTCCCCCAATACTAAGTATGATTGAGAGAGAGATATGAAATTAAACCCTCCCTATACTCTACCATATCTATTTAATAATCCCTTTTACACTCTCTATTAAATTACAAAAACTTACACTACCGATCAATTTTAAATTCACTTTTTCGTTTCATTTTATTTTTGGAAGTGCTATCTGATGATCCGGTGTCCTTTAAAAGGGCTCTGGTGAAATAAATTATTATAATGGGACCATAAAGTGGTCTGTGTTTTTTTTTTATATATATATATATATATATATATATATCACTATGAGAAATTCATCGCGTCTGGAAGAATTCTCAATAGGATGCAGAAAGCACTGGACGTCCATTTTCGACCAATTTGGGGGGACTCACCAGCAGAGCGCATCCACTATCGAGATTCGAACCCGAATCGTTTCGATACAACGAAAGCATCATATCAACACTATATATATATATATATATATATATATATATATATATATATATATATATATATATATATATATATATATAAAGTGTGCGAATTTGTAAACAGTGACTACTAAAGCTGCTAATGCAAGACTCTTCTATTGATTTTAGTCCTCATGGTCACATATGTGTTTGTTTAAAAAATAAATACGGTAAAATTCATCTTCCTCTCTGTCGTGCACCGATTAGGTAATCCGTATGGGTAGACCTGAGTAGGATGATATCCAGAGAGCTCAATGTAAAATTCAGAGCAGATATGTTTGAATAAAAGACAGACCACGTTAAGATTCCATGTAATAAGCTATTTCACCATAACCCCTTTAACAGGGTTCTGGATCATCAGACTTTACTTCCAAAAGCTGAAATGAAAAATGAAAAGAAATTCACACGTTTTTTACGGACCTCATCAAATATACGCAAAGTTAACGAAGTGAGGTGGGAGAGAGGATGTGAGTGTGTCATATGTATCATTTTAGTTTCTTATTTTAACCCCAGTGTGTCGGCTGGATGTTGCTCAAATCTAACGCGTCTCGTCTCTAGATAAAGGTGGTTAAGGGGTGAGCGATAAGGACTACATTAAGGAAGACGTTACAATAACCCCAATAAATTACACGACAGGTTTCATTCAAATTCTTAGATGCTGTCAGTTCGCGTTACTTTAACGTGCATATTTGGGAGGTTAAGGTTTGATAATATCTAAATTTTAAAACAATCTACGAAGAAATTAATTTGAAATTCGGTGGAGTTTTGGGTATTTTCTATGAAGCAGTCGATTGGAAAAATCCATAGACAGAACATTGAAAGAGTAATCCAATTTATATTTAGTAATCTTTTTTATTCCACTAAAACTTTTATCTTATTGCTTGTTAGGTTGACATTTCTTCGTTTGATTTTTGTTCATTAAGTAAACTCGTGGTTGTTTTTATGTATCCAATTATCAACAGTTATTCCCATTTAAATAATTTTATTTTCCACATATATATATATATATATATATATATATATATATATATATATATATATATCATAATTAAGTAAATCATCGAGTCTAGAGGAAACCTCAACAAAATGCAGAAAACATTGGACGGCCGTTTGGTCTTATATTTGGGACTCATCAGCAGTGCGCATCCACTACCGAGAATTGAAACCCGAACAGTTACCATATCGCTATATTGAGTCTGATTCGTTACCTCTTCGTCACTGAGGCCCGTTGGTATGGTGTTTGCCTCCTATCGTAACTATTCGGGTTTCAATTCTCGGTAGTGGATGATTATGATTATCTCAAATCCTCCTAATCATATATATATATATAACGAAGTATGATGGTGTCAACAGCTATCTGTCGCTGTGACTGACCAGACGATGTGCGTACATGAATGCTGTCATTCGCTTTGAAGTGGACAACCCAACCAGTTTTCTTTCTTTTGACCTCATTCCGAAGGTGACTGATATACAAATGCTCCTTATCAAAATGGTCATTTCCATAGTAATTAATTTTGCGAATGAACATGCTTATAAAGATGAGTAAATTTCAATATTGGTTATTCCTAAATTTTCGCTTGAGGATGAAACAGGGCTTGATACTTTAATTCAATTTAATTTCAATAATTATATTGAGGTTTTTGGCTCTCATTTTTGAAACATGAGAAATCTTATGTAGCGAAGGAATCATATGT